TACTTTATTCAAGCCATTTGTGTTGCAGCCAGACAAAGTCTTTGAAAAGCCAGAAAATGAAAAGAATGAAAGAAATAAAATATTAAAATATCACTAGATGCAACATATTTGAAAGTCACTTTTAAATAAACATTCATTCACTTCTTGGTTATTATGTAGATGTGGCTGGTCTTTTATCAATCATACTTCTAACACATTAATATGAGGTAGTAACTCCAAAATAGCACACCAAAAAAGTGCATTTTGCTTAGCTTTAACATTCCAGAATGCATTGATTCTGGCTGAGAAAGGAGGGATTAATGGCTGGAGGAGAGATCAAACTGAAGCAAAACTTCAGAAAATTGAAAGAAACATGAGCATTAGAATATTTAATAATTAAATCCTCAAAAATGGCTTCCAAATGAGGTAATCTGCAATAATGTGCAACACGATTTTCATAATTTACACAGTTCCCACTCCCCACAACTTTCTGCCATTGGACAATAAAGATATTGCTAAAATTCCATGCTATGATTAATCCATGCCTTGAAATCAGTGCAGGGAAACAGTGAAGGCAAGAATTGGAGAATGGGGCTGGGGGAAGAAAAGAGAAAGTATTGGGGAACAGAGGTGGCTAAGGCAGATGATTAACAACAGCATTCCCTGCTTTGCTCAGCTCTAGGGGCGACTCAAGAACACCCCTTTTAAACAGCTCCTGAAGGCGCTGGCAGCTTGGTCAGCTTCTAAAATCAGAATACCTCAGTAATTTGAAATCCATAAAAAAATTCTCCCATAGAAAGGTCTCACAGAAACATGTCGACTTGTAAAAACTTCAATGGCATTAAAAATCTGCTGATATTCTGAGCATTATATTATTATATGTGATTTACCTCAAAATCTATAATCTTTCTGAGCTAATTATTGGTCAACTTTATTAAGGATGAAATAATCAATGGAATACAATACAGTGGGAGACCTAGTTTATATTCACAATGTCTACTTGGTGGTTTCTCCTGATATGCATTTTCTATAACTCTGATCATTTAGATAACTTTCAACATCATCTTACGATGTTTACAAAACATACACACACGAAAAACGTAGTCTTTGAAAAGATGTATTTTGCACAGTCGTTGCCTATTAACATTTGCATTTACAAGTAAATTAACTGCATTAAACTCATATTTCAAGTGTCATTCAACTCTGCTTGTACACAGTTACTACTTAGTGAATTAAAAGAAGCATCAGAGGGATGTGACAGAGGTAAGAAGGGAAGGGGCAATGCCAGCTCACATTAAGGCATTAACAAAACAAGACAACAGAAATGACACATTATGACAGTATAGTCTCTGTGCAGCATGAAAGTCGAAAGACTTGCAACACTGATTGGATGTTACATTTCTTTCATCAGTACTCACAAACGATAATCCACATTTTAGTCCCTGTTTTTGTGCATGGCGCATTAATAAGAACTCATTGCACTCCTCCCCAGTATTACGCCTGACTCAGTATTCCCACAAGCCAGTCCTATCTTGTAAATTCCATGCAATTAGTAGCCTTAACATACACAGAAACATTCACATGATTTGAACCTCCTTTGTCCAATTAACAAAATGTAGGTTGGAAAATAAATGGCAGACGCTGCAGCAAATTAATTATGTGTCCACCAAGCTGTTAGCCTGTGTGCAGAGCGCAGGGGCTGGCAATGAGCGCAGGGGGCACACTGCCATATGGCCTGTGTGAGAGAGGACAAAATTTGGGAGGAGGGGTGCACTGGTGCACCGTTTAAACTCTCACAGATATATCTTGCAAAAAATGCTAGGAAATTCTTCTGAATTTGTATTATAAAAATGTTGTAATGATTATGGCTTTGATGATTAGAACAAAATAAAAATAAAATAAAAATCTTCAGGTTTTGAGTGTCATAAACGGTTTGAGTACAAAATCCTCATTCTATGAATAGTTTAAGACAGTAAAAGGCAATGCTTACAAGACAATCCATTGCTTTGGCTGCAACAAACACTTGTCCAAACGGAGAAGAAACTTGTCGATCGTTACATGATCAACATGGCCCCCTAGAGGTGACACAAAGTAACACAAATATCTGGTCTTGTGTTACGAGCACCAGTAATCTAAACCCTTCTACATAACAGGGATTGTGACATAAGATTACTGACAAATGAATTGTAATAAACATAAATTACGACACTATTATACCGCCAGACACCTAATCTGACAGGATTTACTGAATGCACATGTCTGATAACAGCAGCCTGCAAATAATATCCTATTCGGGTTTCTCAGTTGCAGTTGTGCTCCCAGCACCAATCCTCCCACTTCATCACAAATGTGGAGTATTATATGTTTATGTTGCTGGATCGAAAGAATGAATGACTTCATGCAAACGTTTCATAGGACAAACACATAACCGAGGTGAAGGAAAAGAAAAATAGATTACGTGTCAGAATAAGACCGTACAGAGACGTTAGCATGGTAATCAGTACTCTGGCAAGATAAGACATTAGCAACCTTAGGGCCCTGATAAACAAGACTGGCATCTGCTGAAAAGTTTGGAACATGTTTAATCAGGTCAGTGTGCTTCGCTACACTACTCAAATCATGGTAAACAACTGGCACGTTATTTTAAAAAATCAGTTGAGCAGACAAACTGATTAAATTACTGATTCAGATTGCTACAACAAGGCTGTGGACAATAAAAAATTGAGAGGAGGAATAAATGTCTGTGCAAAATGGAAGGGGTCTTAGTCAATGAGGCAGGACATAGATCCCTATACATAAACCTAGCCCCTAGTTTCCATGACATCGCTCGCTTGCACACACACAGGTTCACGCAGTCCTATTGGGTCGATGTTAATCTAGAGGTAGGAGAGGACACCCCTCCTCACTTTCCCCACTGTTTGCCTTACAGAACAGAATACCTTCATCCCCACCAATAGCAAAATTTCATGTGGAGAAGCTTGGAACATTAACTATCAACTCTGAGGCTACAATTAAAAGCATTTCATCAGATAAAGCTTCCTCCAGATTAAGTGCAGGCATACTGCTGTTGACTATGACATCTGGAAATAGCTTTAACTTGGGTACCCATTGCTGCAATTTTACAGAATGCTCAGAAGTGCTTTAGGCATGGAATCCCAGAATTTGTGTGCCACACATATCATGCCACAGTACACCAAACACAGAAGAAAGAAGCCTTAGCTATTACAAATGAAAATGTTCTCAAGCATACAGAGATACTTGTCATACTGTATTCTAGAGATATATAAAATCTAACCCACGAGTTCATGAGCTGCTATTATAAGCTCAATGTGTAATCATGAGAGTAGACTGGAAAAGGTGGTGTTTCTCCATTTGCGACAAAAGATTAAAGTACCTTTGTTTGTTAAAACAGAATTTCTTATATGTAAAACTGCTTAGATGTATTAGATGTGACTGTCACAAGGTGGTTCACATTCTTATCTAATGTTGTATCAATCTTAGAAGTTTGATTGGTTTTTTACTAAGTTGAGGTGACAATATTTCGGCCTTTATATTTACATTCTATCCAGGGAGCAGTGATACTGATTTAAAGGCAAAAATGGATACATTATTCTTACAAAATGGAAATATTTTGTAAGACATTGAGACATGGTGAAAATTGTAAAACAAGATTCTAATTATTTCTATGTAATGTACTTTGTCTCCCTCTAGTGGCTGGAAAAAGTAGTGTCCCACAGTTATATGACACAGATATGTCTCTGGCATGCCAGTAAACGTCCTTCGTGAGCGTCACTCTTCGTTTTCCAGACAGGATCATCCATCCATTATCAATACCGCTTATTCCCTGATGAGGTCGCGGGGGGAACTGGAGCCTATCCCAGTGGTCAACAGGCGAGAGGCAAGGTACACCCTGGACAGTCCGCCAGTCCATCGCAGGGCCACACACAGGACATACAAGGACAAACAACCACTCACATTCATTCCTAAGGGCAATTTCCCCAATCTCCAATCAACCTAACATGCAGGTTTTTGGACTGTGGGAGGAAGCCGGAGAACCCGGAGAGAACCCACGCAGACACACCACCACCACGTGCAAACCCTCTTGCTGGGAGGCGACAGTGCTAACCACCACACCACCGTGCCGCCCCAGACAGGATCAGGAATTTGGTGCTAATTAGTCTATTCTCATTAAAATTTCAATTCCTTTACCCAGATTACCCCTCTGGACAAGTTTTGAGAAATGCGGCTAATGGTTACTGAGTCATTGCTAGCAATGGCATTCCTTTCTTTTCCTATAGCGGAGATAACTGTATGGAAGACTTTTATTAAATACAGTCTTGAATAATTAGACTGTGTAAAAAAAAAGTACATATTGAAATGATAAGATGTTTAATTTTTGGTTACTTTTACAAAATAGGGGACCAGAAAAGATCAAATTCAAACTTTTTTCAAGATTTTATGGCACTTTAGCTTCAAACTGCACATACATTTCAATTGCTCATCAAATGTAATAAAAAATTATCACTCTTTATTTAATTTTCTATCGGCTGAGGATCCGGGCAACAAAAAAGTTTTTTTTAAAACTCACATAGCTGGTTTTGAAAATCATGCAAGCTAAAGATTACCTTTGAGCAATCTTTGATTTGTTGTCTTTTTTACATTTATTATTATATATTTTAAAGCGACGGGCAAATTAAAGTCACAATCTAATGAGATTGTTTCAGTAACAGGTTGTTTCTGTGTGCATTAAGTTATATCTTTATAGTAATTGACAACAGTAGTGACAAAAAGGGTCTCCAATCCTTCCTAGGGAAATACAGAAACCTGACACCTGGTGTTCATCTGACTGATTCATTTTAAACATGTTTACTGACAGATCCTTTCTCTTTTCGGAGGGCACAAATCAAAATAGTTGATCAATTTCATAACAAACTGTTCTCTCAAGAATTCACTCATTTCCAGTTAGCATACAGTACAGCTCGTTTGACTGCAGAGTTTAAGGGTTCAGAAAGCACATTTATTTAAATTTTTCTCCAGTTTTTCAAGATGCTCCCTGCTGCTTCCAGAGTACTGTCTTGCTATTGTAAAGAAAAACAACAGAAAAATAAACACCATGTCAGCCAACAATAACCATCACAAAATATATGTTGCTTTGATATTTTCCATCTACCTTTATGAAACAAAGGCGAATGTATTTTTCGAAATGCTTTTTAGAATCTTCTCCAATGAATGCTGTGACTGGAATGGCTGCAAGTTTCTGTTAGAAATACATCAGATTTGTTTTGATTAAAAAAGGTAAAGGCAATTAAAACGGCCTCTATAATTTGATTATAGACTATACTTACCTTTTCTTTAATCATCCACTTCACAAACTTGTAGTCATAGGCTTCATCATCAACCATTTGTGACAGGTCCTGATCTGTGTTGAATAAAAAGCAGGCAATTTACGTTTTTATCTACGAACACATTCAAATTTACTTGACTTCAAATGATGACAAATCGACAGAACTGGATGTTCTTGCACAGATATCCATCAAAGACAAATTACATTGTAAGTTTAGAGTGTTAACAAAAAAACTATTAAGTCCACAGGGCTAAATTGCTCATGTTTAAATGTTTTAATTTAAGAAATGAATGTCTTCCTTGTAAGTGTCACTGTATTCAAGATGGTAATATTTGTTTTCAGCAGTTAAAATATTTGGTTTTATTTTGTTTTGGCTGACATGAAGATGTTTTATGTTTTATCTTAGTATAAGATGTATTTATTTCTTCACAGAGGTCTATCTTATTTTGTGTCGCTGCAGTTGCAATATAAGTGTCTGAGCTGCGAAAAATGCATGAGCAAAGAATTGTTTTTCTGAACCATCCGCAGCAGCATGGTCAGCTTTTTTGGTGTAAAGGAGTGTACAAGACTGAGAGAATGTTCACCTAGGACCTCTGAAGTGCCAGGAGGCCACAAGGTAACCGTTGGATTAAGTAAATGTTGCCTGTAAGTTGATAAAGCTTCAAAAGCCTTTGTATTTTATTTCCGCAGTTTTCACAGCATTACATAAACCATGGCAAAGTGCCCATGTTTGTCATTAAATCCCTTTGCTCTTTTCACAGCAAATTCCAGTTTGTCATCAATTATGGTCATGTCAAAAATAAGTGATTACAAATATTACTTATTTTCTAAGAATAAAATAATTCAATCCATACAAAAATTCTAAACAAGAACATGATATATTGTTTACAATTCTTCTTTAATGAATACAAAAACAGTAAAAAGTACCTTTTTAGTTAAAATAATTGAATAAAAAGTTATTGGGTTTTTTTTCAGAAAACAGCAGCTTAAAGTGTGGTATTTGGACAAAAACAAATATGCACATTCATTTTAAACATAATCACAAATCCAAAAGAAAGCATGCAAACTGTTCAGCTTCAAAGAAAGTTTTACTATTTGCATGTGAGATGAAGCACACAGTATGAATGACGCACGGTCAGTTCTAACAGGAACCCATCATTCTAGCAACATTCTCGAGTATCATATCCTTGCGGATGATACTTTACAGGGGCAGAAACTCACTGAGTGATGTGACATCTACAAGCATGAAGTAGCCTCCTTCAGGGATAACAGGAGTCATACCAGCATCCTGCAGGATGGAGGCTAAACGGTCTCTCTTTCCTTCAAGTTCTTTTGCCAGTGAGAAGAAATAACACTCAGGTTGACCCATCATCTCATAGTTCAGGAGTAAGCCTTGTGCCACTGCCTCCTGAAAGCAGCACATCAGAAATGGATCAACATGTAACAATCTTAAAAAATATGATTCCTTGTAAAAATAAATTCTGGCTGACTTACCTGTAAAGGGGTTGGACAGGTGTACAGAGTATTCTGCATGACGGTCTGAAGATGCTTTATCAAGTGCTCAGGTCCTATCGACCAACCAAGCTAAAGGAAAGATTTCACAATGTATAACAAAGCATTACAGAATACTCTCCAAAGACAGTCCAGAAAGCACTCAAAATCCACAGTTACCTTCCATCCAGTAACACTAAATGTTTTCCCTGCGCTACCAATAGTTATTGTCCTATCCCACATTCCAGGCAGAGTGGCTGCAGATAAAGAAAATTGTACATATGAATATATATATATATATGTGTCTGTGTATACTGTGTGTATATGTATATATCACAAACCAGGTGAATAATTACAACTGAACCTTCTAAAACTTTGTTAAAAAGCATGTTTGACAAAAACCTACCGATTTTTATATGTTGGTGCCCTTTGTAGATAAGCCACTCGTAGACCTCATCGCTGAAGCACAGCGCGTCATGTTTAATACAAAGGTCTGCAATCATCTGCAGCTCCTCTCTGGTGAAAATCTGCAGGAAGTTTGAAGGCATACACTGATTATATTGGTCACTTTTAAATTTCAGCCCCAGCAGCAACTGTGCTTTTTTTGTTGTTCTCATGGAGCATATGGTGCTGTAAGAAAATCAAGAGTAAATGCTATACACTCACCTTTCCAATAGGATTGTTGGGAGTGTTGATGATGATGGCCTTTGTCTTCCAGTTAAATTTACTGGAAAGTTCTTCCATGTCAAGATACCAGTCTGCACTCGTGACTGTTTTCTTTCCAGGCTTCTATAGTTTTGGAGAGGACATTTAAAATTATGCCTCCCAAAATAATTTAAAAAAGACACTTGAATAATTATCAAAAAGACTTGTTACTTAAAGACTTGATCAAGAAAAACAGATATCTGGAAGATTTTTGTAACAGACTTTAGAGAGGAAAGAAAAAAGAAACTTTAAAAAAAAAACAGAATATTTTACTTGTTTCATTCAAGAGTTTAGAAAACCACAAATTACTGTTAAATTAATCTTTTTTTGTAAATTATGTCCAACAAGAGAATATTTGACTGAGCCGTGAAATAAAGTCTGAGTCAAACTTACAGGCCGTAGCGGTATCAACACAGGTTTGCCACCCGCCATTCGTACCATTGGTACGTAACAGTCAAAGAAAGGCTCAATTATGATGACCTTGATGAAATGGATACAAACAAAATTATACTTAACAGTATTATAAGTATTGCCATGAATGTTGACTGTCTATTCTGTTCCAATCTTTCAAAATAATCTCACACCAGACAGCCACTGTTTCTGATAATTTCAGTGAACAGCAGGAGGAACACCTGAAGTATCTCAGGTCCTGCATCAGATATTTGCTGGATTTTCACCTATTTCAGAGAGACTTCATTTTTACAATTTTTAGATTGTAGAAATAGTTTTAGGGTTGTTAACTCCTCTATGGTTCACCACTTGTCTAGTTACCATTGACGGATAACTCGAGGCAACTTTCAAGAGTAATTTCTGGAGGTTTTGGATAGTTTGGACTTCAAAAAGGTCTGTCTAGATCACAGCTGTGGGGATACCTGCACATTAATTGTGAACTAGTTATTCAATGAAAAAAAACTTTCCAACTAAGATGTATTATAGTTGTATACAATAAGTTGGGCCCACTATTTATCTCTGCATGAATCTGCAGCTCTTTATTCATCATTAGCTAAATGTAATGTTGCATTTACAAAACACTGGATTTATTAGGACATGGTTGTTGTTTTTTCTGAAAAGCTTGTGTCATGTGATACCACAAATCACATGTTTTTTTACCATTTTTCAATTTGATTGTGTGCATATACAGCCTTCAGTTTAAACTAATGATGCCCCATTTATGTTTTTTCATTCAAGAAAATATCTTAAATACATAAATATAAAATTACTTTATGCCAAAAAAATTGGATTGTGTGTCTTGGGTAGCGATTGGCTTTCCTTGTCAAGCTGAAAGCCTGTCACACACATCAAGCAATACAAGGTTTTAAAAGGAAATGGTGCATGTAGTGAAAATGGCAGATTTAATTTCACCCTATTCTTTGTTTATCAAGCCTAAAATTCCCTCCATTAAAGTTTACTCAAACAAATTAAACCGTATATGCTCATATGCTGGACTGTGCAACTGAAGGGGAAAAGGAAAGTTATTTTTTTAAGCTAGGGCTTTTAAGTTCAGCATTTAATTGGTCTGTTGTTGCTCTATCCAAGTCCTTGACTTTTCAAAATCTTAGTCTTGACTTTGTCATGAGCTGCTCTGGTTTTGGCATTGTCCTGCTCTGGGTTAAGGTAGTGTCAGTTACAAACATTATTAGCTACCAAAACACTTCAAAGAGGGCCGCAGCCGTAGCCTAATGGCTAGAGCGGGCGGCCCATATACAGAGCCTTTGCTCGCAAGCGGGTGTCCTGGGTTCGAATCCAGCCCATGGCCCTTTCCCGCAGGTCTCCCCCTCTCTATCTCTACCCCCTTTCCTGTCAAGCTACTGTCATTAAAGGCCACTAAAGCCAACAAAATCTAAAAAAAATAAAAAAAACACTTCAAAGAATGTTCTACTCCCCAAGCTAATAGCTCTTTTAGAATCCCCTTATTGGTGTTGAAAATGTAAAAGGTTGCTTGAAATGGAGCACTTTAATTGTTTATGTGTCATAGGTCAGTGTTAAGTAGCTCAACAAGTATTCCTCTGAAAATGGTCAAGCACAAAGACAGGACTGAAAATGTGTATAACAAATGTGCGAATGACTTTCAGAAATTGTGAACTATTGCTGAAGACCATTTTAAAAGATTACAAAAACATCTGGAAGAAAATATCATGAAATGAGGGTTGGAGCATGACTTTTACATGGCAATATACACAAGCAATACACACAAATAATAATACACAAAAATATAAATGAAAAGTGAAAATAACTAGAGAAATGTCCTCACCTCATCTCCTTCCTCTACAAGACCTTGCATAGTGCTAAATAAGGAACCATAGCCACCAACTGTAACAAGAATTTCTTTGAAGGGGTCAATCCGACGTCCACAGACTTTACCATACACCTGAGACAAGGCCTTCACCAAAGATGGATGACCCTGATCAGTAAACACAAAACATAGTTATACTTAAGTACGATACCGCCAGGTAATGGTGAAATACTGATACTGACCGTGTTAGAAAATAATCTAATAAGGCATCTTGAAATCTACAGCCTGCTGTTTAACTAAAAGATTTTTGCTTGGTTTCCATATAACATAGTCAAATTGTATAATCACCCCAGTACTAAATAGTTAGGAAATTTGTATGGTCAATTTCAATACCATGTTGTTCAATACTGAATCACTGATAAAATAATGTATTTATTTATCCTATTTTATATGTAAAGGGTAAACACTACTTTTACAAAGGTCAGCGGTTTCTTAGATATTGTTTTGAAAAAGTGCCAAGGAGTGAATTTAAGTGTGAGTATTTATTTACCTATGTGTGGCCCTGTGATGAACCGTTAAGCTGTCCAGGGTGTACCTTGCCTCTCACTTGATGTCACCCTTATTCCCCTTCCCAAAATGAATAAGTGGTACAGAAAATGGATGGATGTTTTCAACCGAACTTTCCACACCGTTCCTTGTTGTACATTGTCATACTTTTTATGATAGTTTGTCAGTTATTCTGGGTAAAATGAGGTCTGAGTAGGAGAGATGGCATCTATCCCATTTTGGAAAGAGACGCATATGTAGAAAAATGGCATAATTTATTAGTTGTTAAAAAAAAGACTCATCTCAGGGTTTAGAATGGGAAGCAAAGTGCCTCTCTGCAACTTCTGTCCTGCTGATACACCTTAAAAATTCTATAATATCTCAAATCAACCTAATTGAATAAATTTAAAAAACAGAAGAAAATTCAAAATCTGTACCTTTCCTCAGTCTCTTTGTTGCTTCTTTTTTTTACGTACCTGAGACAACATTGAAATTAACGTGTAGACACCTGTGACCCCCGTTTCTATCCAGGGGGTCCCTGTAGACACTGTAGAGGAGTATAAGTACCTGGGGGTGTACTTAAATAATAAATTGGACTGGACTAGAAACACTGAGGGGGTCTACAAAAAGGGCCAAAGCCAACTCTTCTTCCTGGGGAAGCTGACGTCTTTTAACATCTGTCAGACAATGCTGAGGATGTTTTATGAGTCTGTTGTGGCCAGTACGATCTTATTTGCTGTCACATGCTGGAGCTCCTTCGGCAGAACACTCCTCTCACCCAGATGCACCACCAGAGCGCCACAGGAAATCATTCCTGCCAGTGGTCATCAATCTCTACAACGCCTCTCTCAAAGTCAGACACCCCCCCCTCTGTAAATTCTTACTAATTTATTGGCATTATCATTATCACTAATTTTAGGTTTATACATATACAACATAGTTACATTTGTATATATTTATATTTTGTGTGGAATTTGTATATATATATATATATGTACAGTATATGCTGTTATTTTATTATGCTGTATTTCTGAAGTTTGTAAGAAAAATAATTTCCCTCTGGGATTATTAAAGTATTTCTGATTCTCTTCAGGTATAACTAGTCTGCTTTTGTGGTGTTTGTTGGTGTCTGTTGTCCCTCTTTCTTGTCCTCTCAAACCCAAGCTGGTGGAGGATGATGGCCATCCTTTCAGACTTTGGCTGTTCCGCAAGTTTCTTCATGTTAAAATGCAATTCTTTTCTTTCCACAGTTGCAGGATTGGAAGGTCTCAATGAAAGTGCAACCTGTTGTTCTCCTTAGATAGGGACTAATTTATTTAGCTAGGAATTGAACTTGAACCGATTGCATTTTTATTGCATCACAATTAATTGGATATAAATTGGCTTGAATTGGAAAGTATTTTTTAAGTGTCCAGGGATTACATTTCTTGTTATTTGGCATTATATAATGAATATAAATAGATACATTTAAATCAAATAAATAGAATTGAACTGAATTAAGAAATAGCAGCTAAATACATTTTGTTTGCAACAATATCAATGACTCCCTGCAGCCTCAAATAGGTACATCGAAACTTACAAAACCTCTAGTGTACTGGTTTATATGGTCCATGGACGCAGCCTTTGCAAGTGCTTCTTTGATGTAAGGAGGTGGAGGGATGTCTGGATAGCCTTGCCCCAGATTAACAATGGATGGGTCTGCTGCCACTGAAGTAAAAGCTACCCTGTAGTGAAAAAATGAACTGTCATTGGAGGGAAAAGAGATCAAAATATGTTTTGGATCCAAGGAATACTTAATCAACCATACATACAAAACAATCACTGAATTAAGAAGGAAAATACATTTTTATGCACCCTGTATTCTAAAACTTCCTAATATTGTTCATGAAAGGTCTCAACTGTTTATGTCAAGTTGAAACGGTAAAAATCAAGTACAACACAAAATAAAAATTTAGGTTGTTTCATGAATAAATATAAAGCTCGTCGTTGTTCTTGTGTAGACATGAAAAGAGTCTTCCTCACTCCTAATTCCTCCTACATATTGCACACTTTGGACAATGGATGGATAAAAAAAAAATCATTAGTATCAATTTGCTCTAATTGGACAAGACAGATAGTATCCCCTAACCCAGGAAATAATTTACAAGAGAAAAAAATAATGAAAATATAAATAAAGACCATGGGTTTAACCAGAACTTAGCTTAAACAAGTTTGGAAACTTCTCTTACTCAACTATGGTTTCTATTTTTCATTCATGTCAGTAGATTTTCTTAACCATCACACAATACAAAGAAATAAACTTGAATGAGTTAAGTTAAAGAGCTAATATACTTAGATTCTTTTTGTAGAGAGTGAATTCTCACCAAAATCTTTATCTTCCTTTTTTTGTCATTTGTTTGAAACTATGTGAAATGTTTGTGCTTTTTGGGCGCTGGCACTTGCTGAACCTCCAGCTAGATTTTCCCGCGCTGGAGGTAAGCAGTGCTTAGTAGCGCTCCGGGTATATAATAATATTTTAAGAAATAAACGCACAGTAATGACAAATTATTATTTGAATACGAGTGTATACAAATAAAATTACATGATTCGCTATAAAAGTAATGACTGAACATGATGTAAACGTGTTATAAATGAGCAGTAATCTATTTCTGTGGTAAAGATACAATGATGTGCATCATGAAAGGTCTTGAATTTGTATTTCTTATTTGGTTGAATTTTAGTTGCAGTCAATAGAAGGAAGCCCTGGTCTCATTTACTTTGTTTTTCATGAATGCAGGTACGTTGTTGTAAAATGTTTGAAGATAAATTATTGTTCTCTTTACATTATATAATATCAGTTTGCTTGCCGTATATCATCTGCATTTTTGTTTGCTCTTTACATTGTAAAAAGCATCTAGATTTTCCCGCGCTGGAGTTGCATTCAATAGAAAGAAGCCCTGGTCTCATTGACTTTGTTTTTCATGAATGCAGACAATAAAATCGAGTGGCTGAACCCCTGGTGTATTTCTGATCTTTGGAGGGTCGGTTACATCTCCAATTATAGAACATCACTGAAATGGTACATAAAATAACTTAAGGGAACAATATAGAAGTGAGTCATAAAGTCATGGAAGTGACTCCTTCACGAGTACCTTCCATATTATAAAAATTTGTCAACAACAAACGTCTGATTAATTATCCATATGATCATGTACTGTAAATACTACATTGATCAACACCCTGGTCCAATACCGGGGTTTTAGCAACACGATATACTTTCTTAGTGCTTGTGTCATATATAAATTATGTTACAGGCTGTTCTTTGTGTTAGGCCTTCATTTGTAATGGAAAATCCCCTCAACGGAGCTGTGGCAAGTGGAGCTGAGTAGAAAAACTAATTATAGACTGAATGTCTTCTACATAAAGTAAGTCAAAGTCACTCCAAAACAATATTTTGGGAGGGGTACACCAGGGCTTCACAGGAATTGTCAAACATGCATTTGGCATTTCAGTTAAAGCAGCATGGCTTGCAGACAATGTGTACAAACAGATGCACCTTCCTTAATCAGCGCGAAAGAAAACATCCTGCACAAAACTAGAAAATACAGCTGGAAAAAAGCTCATTATACACAAAGTATTTCAAAGCCGATGCATTGTAAATTATTCTGTGGTGTATTCACACTTATAACAGCACAAACAAATGCTTTAAACACACCTTTTGTCTGACAAATATTATCCACAGTGATAACACTTGTTCTCAAATGCCATAAGTTAAAGGTGGGTTGCTCATTTCAAAACAGCATTAACATTATCTTGAATTTAGCAAATACAATTGAATGGTGTTCCTGCAGATGAGCTATCATGTTAGATTTGTTTCCTCCCATGGCTGCCACTACAAGCGTCGATACCACAGGAATGGTATGACGACCAATCTTCATGTGTTTGTTGAAGGTAGGCAAGGATGCCCCTGTTCTTGTAGCACTTAGTAGGTCATTCCATGAAATTCTAACACAAAGCATGCTTCAAATCAATGTCCACTTACCAAACATTGTTGTCCAGCCCCTCAATTCTCTTGGCATTTGTGTGCTTTGACATCATTACATGCTGCAACCCAAGAATATGTGGGACAGCTTGTCAAATATTAAATTCTGACCATTTTTTAACAGTTAGGTACTCAAAAAATCTGCAATGCACAACATGCAACAACCAGTGAGTTCGGAGTTAGTCACAAAAAGGTTATCTGTGGTAAATCCTACAATAAAAACTGCTTTTAATGTGTACTTACTTGCATTGTAAAAATACTTCTTCTGTAGGCTAAGTGAGTCAAACGACACATGGACTGAAGACAATTCTGTGCCATCATGTTTATGCTGGACAAAACAGGTATTCCAAAAGACAAAACTGTGAAAAAAAGAAATAAATGTATGACATGTCTGTTTTTCGCGACTGTAAAAAAGGAATATTATCAGAGTATGCATTACCACTTAATCTAACTGTAAACCCCAACACATATTTTATAATTCAATGTATTATTCATTTAAAAAAATAAAATGAGTAATACCGACACAGACCGACATTTGGTTTTAATTATGTTTTGCTTTGTTTTATTAAAGACAGTAGTTGGATAACATACGTTGACCAACTATGTAACAGTAGGTGGCTCCGGAGTATCTTGCACAGCCAGACTGAGCGGCGGATAGTTTATGTGTGATACTTCCATAATACTAAGTCGTTCCCTGACAACTCGGTCATGTTTCAAGAGTCTCTACATCCATGACACACTTCTGACAGTTGCTGCAAATTTACCAAAGGGAACTGCCACTGTTCACAAGGATGTCGTGTTATTTATAGACCATGATCCCATGAGAACATTTTGCATACTTTTTTTTACCCTTACAGTGTTGTTGATTTGCTCTCGCTAGCTACATTGCAATGTACAGTGCCAGTCTCAGCTAGCTAGGTAGCCTTAGCTAACAGTATTTTTGACTGTCACTTTCCTCATGCTTTGTTAGACCGTGATGACAGATTCAACTATCAGACTCTCTTTGAGATACACGTACCATGCATTGGTTGAAGTTAAGCCACCAGGTCTGCAGCTAGAACTTACTTCCAAACAGTGAGTTGTGAACTCACGAGGCAGCAAAGTCGACCCAGACAAGAGAATGTTATGTTGCATTCGCTTAAATCGAAAATGTGTCAACTTGTATTACAAACATGAGTAAAACAACGCAAATAATCTATTTACTGATACATGTCGATAATAAATACAGAGAAAATATCACAGCAAATAACAATATATTTTAGGAGGTAAGAGAGCAAGCCTGAGGTATTCCTCTTATACTAACTATTCATTATTTTTTTTTTCTAAACAAGGTGAATATAACATTTTCTCTTAGTTCGTTTTTAGCGCCATTATATCCCTTAGCACACGTACTATGAGAGCGCTGAGGACGTTTTATTGTGACAAACTTTTCCGACAGCGATTCTGTACATTGAGGCCGTGAACGCAGCACTGGCCATGACTTGATGGAGGATCCTTTCGCTGCAGACTTGATGAGCCATCCCAGAATGGAAGCGTCCCTGTGCGATATTTCAAATTATAAAGCATTAACAGAAATGCATTTCACTTTCACAAGATAGATGCCTTTTCTGACTCATAAATAAAATTATTAATAATCAGTCCAAACTGCACTATTTTCCTTCAAGACTGATCATTTTGTAACATAATTAAAAGGATAAAGAAAAGGATATTGTATTTTGGTTTTCTACCCGACCCATGCAAAAAATGTAATATATTTCAATTTGAAATGTCAGTTTTGAAAATGAAAAAGCATCAACAGATATGCTTTTTCATTTTCAGAATATAGCTGCATTTTGACTCATTAATAAAATTAATTATAGATCATCCAAACTGCATTTTCATTTTCTTCATCAAGACTTATCATTTTGTAACTTAATTGAACTGAGGGGAATTATGTTCCGTTTTCATGCCCGACCTCTACAAAAAGAGTAACATAATTATATTTGAATTGCCAATCCCAGACAGCGCAGGAGAGTGACATCAGCAACCTCTCTTCTTCTAGTTTACATCTTTGGGCTTACCGGAACACAACATGACGCTCCTTGAAACAATTGCACAATCCTTGTTAGAATTAGTTTAGAATCGGATTCCTGTGACAAAGTTGAGCATAAAGAGAATTTGGCTGACTCTGCTGTCACGAATTTTAATAATATGGTAATGATATCATAATAAAAAAAACATGATATTATGATATTATTAAATCCAGATCATATTTGTATATGCAGTTCTGATTATTTTTTATATATGTGGTCAAGCCTGAAAGTTCGTTTAGGCAAATGGCGTGAAGGTTTCTAGAAAACGTTTCGCCTCTCATCCAAGAGGCTTCATCAGTTCTAACTGATGGTGGGGAGCACTGAGATTAATATACTGTGGTGTAAAAAAATAATTTGGAGGAAAAAAAGAAAAAACTAAATGTGGCTCTGATCCCTCCTACTGGATGGGCCATAGAGGTCACCTGGGGGAGTGTTAATGGTGGTTAGGGGGTTCTGACGGGTTGTTAACTCCCTTGTCCGGGTGGTTTCGGTCACATGCCTTTTTGAAGTGTGAGTCAGGGCAGGTGAGAGGTGATTTTTCTGGGTATTGTTCCTAAAAGTGCAATGTAAGAGTACTCCTCTGTTGAGTGATGGTTTCTCCAAGTTAACAAAGAGAGTGGCTGGAACTCACCACTCTCTATGACATGTTCTTCAAGGGACTAGTGGCTCCCATACGGGAGCTTCTAGTTCTTCTGGATCTCCCCTGAGACGGAGTCCAGCCCTCATCGCCCTAGCCATTCATGCTGACAACAGACTTGCGAGTTGTACCTGCCAGCACGGAGGAGATCGGCAACAGTGGGCAGCCTTTTTCCCCCACCAGCGGTGGAAGGTTCATCCCCAATCCAGGCGTCATTGGTAACAGGCTCTCTTCCTCGCACTCTTGCCAAAGAAGAATAACAAATGCGGCTCGGATACACACGTCTTTCACTGAAGGAGCAACAGTGACCATGGTGGGAGAGTCACTGCTTCTACTGTGGGGAGACGGGACACCTCGTGGTGACCTGTCCAGCCAAAGGAGCCACCAGAGTCCAGGAGGCGGCCTCTCCTGTCCTGTCCTGAAGAAGCCCTTGGGGGCTCGCCTCGCCAGGTCCTTATCTATGAGAGCCCATGGGGGCTTACCACCTCTGATCACTTCCATGAGGCGACTGAGGTCAGGTCGCCTGTCCACGCCAGGCCAACAAGGGAGCCCATGGAGGCTCGCCACACCAGATCCACGTCTAAAAGTAAGCCAATGGGGGCTCACATTGTCTGTCCACGTCCATGAGGTGGCCGAGGTCAGTGTGCCTGTCCACGTCCATGAGGTGGCCGAGGTCAGTGTGCCTGTCCACGTCCATGATGCAGCCAAGGTTGGCTCGCCTTTCCATGTCAGGCCATCAAGGGAGCCCACGGGGGCTCGCCACGCCCACAACGTGGCCAAGGTCACCTTGCCACGCCTACAAGGAAGCCCATGGGGGCTTTCCTCACCAAGTCCACACCCATTGGGGCTTGACACGCTCCATTTTCCCTGCAGGTCCAACGCTACAGCCACCTTCCTGTTTCCCAGAGGGTCCGTCGCCGCCACCAAGACCCTGTCTTTGCCTGGACTGCCAAAGCTCCATGGGGTTTGGTAGCCCAACAGGACTGGTCCATGCCTGGCCTCCTGATGGCCTTGATTCTGACATATTCCTCCTGCACCATGCCTGGCCCTAAAGGACCTGACTTCTCGTGTGTTTCTACCTACATCTGTGTGACCACATCTTTATTTAGGAGTGGCCAAAAAAAGAATGTCTGATTAAGACAATAGTTTCACTGACCCCCAGGTTACAAAAGAACCTGGCAGTATGAGCCTAATGGATGAGACCCGCGAGAGGATGTGACTAAAGTTCGGTTGGGAGGCCATGTACCAAGCTCGTTCGTGGCGTAGAGCAGCAATAATGAGATCATTCAGTGATTTCATTCAATATCCACTTTGCAGGTCCATGGTGGAAAACCTTGAGAATCGGGCTACAAAGTCCAGTTTTTTACTTAGTTACCCATATTTGTAGCTGTTCCTATGTATTTGGTATTCTTAATACTCATGGAGCTCAATTTTAGTTGTGTGAAGATAAAGCACATTTATCTGACAATGGTTAAATCAATAACTGGAAAGAATAAGAATAGAAGAAGCTGCTAAGACCCTAACAAAAATTGAACCCAATAATAGCATATATATTTGATACATACAGATTCTGGAATGTTTTCCATCTAAAACCTTTTGCACCATTTTATGGTAAATCTTTTCTCAAAAGTGGGAATAAGACAACATGACAGTATTTCGAATACTTTTATTGTTGATAAAGCACCAAATAGAGACATCCGACTGAATAATAGATATAACTTTCTCTCAATTTTTTTTTAGACAGAAAGTCTGAGAAAATATAAAGAAATTATGTGCGGTATAAATATTTTGTCCATTATTTGAATTAATTGTTTTTATATAAATAAACGATTAAGTCTTTGTTTAGTTAAACTGCAAAATGATCGAATGCTAAAATACAGTTAAAAACAAATAAAACATTAATCCAGATGTAGCCTTTTACCAGACAATGCAGAGTAAGCTATTTCTAGAATATTTTTTTTGCAAGGCTTGACATAATGTGTTAATATTAACTATTTTTCTTTTTTTGTTACCGCCTTACAACTTGCATGAAGTCCGCTGGGGTTTCTTTTAAGCCCACACCCCTCTTCCTGACGGTCCATGCCTGCCTTAAGAGGATTCAGGAAGGTTAGTGGACCGAGTCAGCAGAAGGATAGCTGACGTGAAACTTGATCGCATGAGAGCCCATCGCGCAGATTTCAGTGCCCTGCTTTCATCCAACAGAAGGTAAATGTGAACCTAAAACTCTATATTAATACAGAAACAAAGCTAATTCTGTTAATCTTATGGAGAATTACAGTTTGTAGTCGGTAGTGAACCTATCAAACTAGTTAACCCGTTAGTTTACTTCTGAACCTAGAACCAATGAGGCTTGAATAATGAGCCATAACGAAGAGGAATGTGGCAAATAAACTGTTAGTCTTTAAATTTACTCAAATACCGTATGTGTCGAGCACAGCTATTACTTATACGTTTCTGTTGATTTCAGTGTACGTCGCAGTTCCCCACACTCAGTTGCTATTTCTACGGAGCTTCTGTTTCACACACATATACCTCACTAAGAAAAAAAATCAGTCCTGCAATGCGGCTAGTTTTTTTCGATGTCATGAACGAGAGGACTTTTTGTACGCCTGGGGCTGGGTGTGTTCCCAACATGTCTGTTTTTGGATACATGGGATTCAGGCAAGTTTCCTGTCAGGAAGGAACGAGGATATGGCCTGGTCAGTTTAATTCAATGGCTGACTCATCCAGCAGGACAGTGAATCAGTGTATCCCAGCCCACCTGAAACAAACCATAGGCTGTTTGCTAAACCTATTATAGACTACTATTAACTATGTTTGCCATAATTTCAGTTAATGCTCAATATTAACCGAGCAACCCTGCAGGCTCTTTTAGTATAAACAACATTGATGTAGCAATCACATGTGAAAGCACAGAGTGCCACAATGGTAGTTCCGCTAAACCATTTAGTTATTATTCCAAATCATGCGCCATAAAATAATGTTTTTCAGTAATCAATATTATTAAAAGGCATCCTGCTGTTTCTTTACATGAATCTGTCAAACAAAAAAAAGTTTCATGTTGGTGCTGGGCCATTAGGTGACTTACTGATCTCAACAGTCCTTTTCATGATTTGGTGTGTATAAATGGCAATTTTTTATCAGAAATGCAGTCCAAAATAATAAATATTAATTTTCAAGGAAAAACACTGTAGTTCAAAGCCAGGATGGATGGCTCTACAATCAAAACATACGATAACATTGTGAATGCCTAATGAAAAACCTCTTATCAGAACAGAGTGGAAAAAGAACGTATGAGAGGGTTTCATATTGTCTGGTTGTGGAAGATTATCAATGAGTTGGGGGCTTGGTTCCCACAAATACTATATTGTGAACAACATCAAGTGGTTTAGAAGCAGGGTACTTATCTTAGAAGGGCTGCCGCTGTAGACATGATGGAGTTGTTGGTTAACAGATCACAAAATTGTTCAAGTTAGGTGGCAATTGTTAAATTAAAAGACACCATCAAATGACCAAACACATATAACTGGAAAACTACTAACGTTATTGGTAGTCTCCAAAATTACATTTATTGTAGTTTCTATATAAATAAAAACAATAGGCATACAAGAAATCTGCAGAGAAATTAGTTTTAATATAGTATATTTTGGCACCTATCTCTTGAAATGTTTTTTTTTTTTTTTTGGGAGAGACGTAAGGAAGGCCCCATGACAAAGGATGGCTGATTCTTTCACAATAGTTAGTTGCTCTGGGTATATTGTTAGTTGCTCTGGGTTTAGCTAAATTTGACGGAGCTGCATTTTGGGAAAACTTTGGGATTGGATTAAGTGGAAAACATCAGGAATTTCTTTATGTGAGTCTTATGGCAACTTCATCTAAGCAAGGTATTACATTTCTAAAGTTAATATTGTACAAAATACATTATTTAGGGAGGCCTAGAGTCTAATGAAAATAATCATCTCACTGTTAGTCTTCCCACCTAAAATGCACAAAAATAATGGATGGAATACTTTCAGTTAGCTCCACCTCATCCAGTGAAAGCAGTCTAAATCTTGAAACCGAATGTACTTATTATTCAACTTTTTGCATTTAGCATCTATATCTATATATATATATATATATATATATATATATATCTTTTAGAGTGGTTGAATAATTTACCACTTACCCTGTCTTCCCCCCACCACCTGCTAAATGCAAAAACATAATATACTGTATGTTGAATAATAAGTACATTCGGTTTCAAGATTTAGACTGCTTTCACTGGATGAGGTGGAGCTAACTGAAAGTATTCCATATACACATTGCATATTCATTAAGTGGTTTCCAAACTCTAAGAATATGCCTGTTTATAGACACATAATCCGTATAAGGTAATAAGCTGAATCAATCAACTTTGATACATTTCTACTTAGTGTACACATGTATTGTCACACACGCACAAATTTGTAAAATAGAACAAATTAATTGTTGTATCATTGTCAAGTACTGTGAGTGTTGACAAAACTCCAATTAATTGATAGTGTGATTTTCTTCTGTTCTGCTCTTTATTAGCCACTTCTGTTGTTCAGTGTCAACTTACATGTGACAGAATGTTTTGAGAGGTTTTGAATATCTCCATTATCCTTTGTTGAGTTGTGGTTTAGGGGCCTCACGCCCACCAAGAGTCTCCGAAGGGATAATAATTTTTTCTGGGGAGGGGCTGAGTTATAAGCACCTAATAGACATCAGCAGATTAACAGCATGATTTAAAAACTCACTTCATCCTGGAAATAGGAACCCAAAGGCACTCCCCTAGTAAAAGGCTTTGGGATGGGGATTTGTTGATGTCTTATGGCTATTGTGTGTACTCTCAGTTTTGGGACTTAGAGTTCAGCACATAAAAACCAGGGTTTATAGCTTTGGGCTTGATGACTCTCAGTATACATTGAGTGGTTCATATTCAGCTGTGAATTAGCTAGACTGAAAGTCAACATATCTGAATTTAAATCTATGGTCCTTAATTGGAAAAGGGTGAAGTCTTCCCTCTGGGTTGATAAGTATTTTCCATATATTAAAATTCTGGGGATCTTGGTCATATATGGCATTATTATCGATCACAGAAGCACATACTGATTGAGGCTTTGTGGGAAAGAGGGACCTGTGCATAAGGTGAGGTTTTAAATTCGTTAGTGTATCTTACTTCCATTATCACTTCTGATGTGCAAGTACTTTAGGATCTCAAAAGAGGAGATTCAAATTATGATCTTGACTTTCCTCAAGCAAAAAGCTCAATGGACAAGCATTTCTTATATGTGACAATTTGCTTTAACAAGGCTCCATTTACCAATCATCATTTTAATAGTTGATAAAACACAAACTATGCAGCGCTGGTGAGGAGAGTTACATAGTCCTTTTGATTCTACAACAGCTGTCGGCTATCAGTAGCCACCAGTATTTGCTATAAACAACATTCCGAAGTTGTTGGATTCTTGAAATGCATGATAAGCTTCATAGCTTTATGCAAGTAGATCTAAGTTATAAAAGTGTATAATTATGAATATTGGTTTAATATTTTGTGAACTTCTATGGACAGTGTAAACATCTTTGCTACTGGTCAAAAACTTGTAATGAAATGGAGATAAAAGACAGTTATGAAATTTATATGCATTACTCTATAGTGTATTATATTAAAAAAGACCACTTAAAGGGTTGATTTTACAATCGAGCCCCTGAGACATTTGAAACACTTTAAACATGATACCTGCACACATTAGCATTTTACAGGTGATCGGAATGGGGCAATGGGACTCTTGATATTTTCAGTTTTTGAAGAGTTTTGAAAATAAATTTAGGTCTAAGTAAGAAAATCTTCCGTCTAAAAGAAAAAATTACTATGTTGCTGTTTCCATGTTTGGAGCCACTTTACAAAAAGTTAATCTTATTTGTTAAGTCAACGTCCAAACACCTGTCAAAGGTCGGCAAAATAAGGCATTTATTTACTTTTTACTTGGCACCAAGTTCCAAATAATTACACTAGTAAAGTGCATCTGTATATTGTCAAAGTTCCTTCTGAAATTATCACATCATTAGTTCAAGAAAACATTTGTTACTTGCTCACTTACGCACGGACCACCAAAGTCTCTGAGGTTTGAATAGAAAGGTTTGTTAACCCTTTAGCATTTTTATACTACTGTATAAACAACAACCTAAACTATAATCCAATACACTATAGTAATACTTTTTAGTTCTTCTGTGCCCTGCATACAGTAAACTACAACTGAACATTTCAAGTTGGTGTTATAAGTCCTGCACGTAAGCTTGGAGTAATCTTCATGCACTTAGAACTGTGGCAACTGGCCGCAGCTGTAGCCTAATGGGTACAGCGGGCGGACTATATGCATATGCAAGCCGGCGGCCTGGGTTTGATTCCAGCCCATGGCCCTTTCCCGCAGGTCTCCCCCTTTCTATCTCTGCCCCTTTCCTGTCAAGCTACTATCATTAAAGGCCACTAGAGCTCAAAAAATCTTTTTTTTTTTAAACTGTGGCAACTAGGATGTTTGAGGATTTCTTCACATAAACAACAGATTGTGGAATTAAGCAATAACTTTAAGTTTCCATTTCATTCAATTTCTTCATCTCCCATTGCTGAGTAGAGAGTTGTTTTTTGCTTCTTGTCTTGCTGTATGTATCATTTTCTTCTGATTTTAGATGTATACTGACAAATTTCTTTCACATCTTTAAGTATACTACTATGGTTGAAAATGTGAAACAACCAGTGTTGGCTATGACACCTCCAATATTCAATACAAATATTACTGTTTAATTCGTTCAAAAAAACATTTGATAGGCCATCTGAATACACAGTGAGTAGGGAACAACTTGGCCTTTTTTAACATTTTTAATGTGATTAATTTATTTACTTTAATTTAAGAGAGAGTCTGCAATTAATCTAAGCTTAATATCCTAGGACTATTTTTGAGCTTATACCACTTTGTATACTACAACTACTTATGTACTTTGTAAATTGTTTTGTTACCTTTTGGCACCTTTTTTTTTTTTAACCTTGTCCTGTTCAGGATTATGGCAGCAGAACTGAAATCTGAGTACCGTGGTATGCTGAAGACATTTGCTTTGCCAAGGGAGGCTTTATTGGTGAAAAGCCCCCTTTGATTATCCAACACTGCTTTATTTATTTATTTTTGTTTGCAAACCTTTACTTGTATCCATTAATGCTGAACCTGACAGAGGGACAGGGAAGAAAGAATAGCAAAGCAAAGCAAGCCTGAAAAGGGGAAAGATCGCTAAGCCTAAGGCAGAGAGAGAAAGAAAAAAAGAAAGACAACAAAACCAGACAACCAGCTGCTATGTCTATACAAATGAAATAGTTTCTTGTGGGCAATGCGGATGGACAACCTATAGGAGCTCAGCAAATGGTCACAGGCAAGACAAAAAAACAAACGAGCAACAAAAACCCAGTGACAGCAACAGCACTGGTGGCAAGGACAGCACTGAGCATCTCAGAAATGTACAGCAACTGTACAGTAACTTAAGGAGGCGCGTGTCTGGGTAACTGGCTGTGTGTCTGGGTAACTGGCTGTGTGTGTGTGTGAGCAAAAACACACAGCTCAGGTTTTCCAGATTGTGCTCAGTTATGCATGCAGAGGGACCACTGGCCACAGCTCTAGCGCTCCGAAGAAGACAGTGCCCATTTTGTGACCTTTTGGCACCATAATAGATAGTTGTAATACACTCTAATCTGAAATAATCTAAATTATTTGGAATAATGTAATTGTTCATATTTAAAATCTAATAGTCACTATTAGA